AACAATATTGTTGTGATTGACAGTAATATTAACTATCTTACTGTTAAACACAGTAAAATTAACTAAACTACAGTTTAACACAGTAATATTGCTATATTAATCTCTAGCACAGTAATATTAACACAACAAAACTCATTATTATTGTGTAATAGAGTAATATTCCTATGTTGACCGTTCAACAAATGTAAACATAATAAAAAGCCAAAAAACTTAATATTATTGTGAGTGACAGTAATATTACTATAACAACAGTAATATTACCGTCAACCACAGTAATATTATTACGTTACTCCGTGAATAACTCAAACAAACAAAAAAATACAAACAAAATAATAATATTGATGTGGTTGACAACAATATTACTATAACAACAGTAATATTACCGTCAACCACAGTAATATTATTGTGTTTACAGTAATATTACAATAATAGACAGTAATATTATTACGTTACTCCGTGAATAATTCAAACAAAGCAAAACCCCCAAAAAAATAATAATATTGATGTTGTTGACAGTAATATTATTGTGTTTACAATTATTTTACTGCCAACGACAGTAATATAATTACGTTGACTTGTCAACAAATCAAACAAAACAAAAAAATAACAAAAATAATAATAATAATAATAATATTACGTTAATTTACTGTCAACGGCAGAACAATTACATAAATGTATTGTCAACGGCAGTATAATTACGTTAATTAAATATCATTGACAGTATAATTACGTTAATTTACTGTTAGTGACAGCACAATTACGGTCAACGTTTAGCGACGGACGTAAAAAAAAAACAAAAAAAAAAAAAAAACTTAAAAAACTCTAAAAAAAGTTAACGCCGGAAACCGGCGAAAAATCCAAAAAAAAAAAAAATTGAAAAGTCAACGCCGGAATCCGGCCGAAAAAAAAAATTGAAAAAAAAAAATTTGGCGTCAAAATTGAATAATTTGTGAAATTTGGGGTCAAATTGTGGTTAAATTAAGTTAAGGATGAAATTGGAGTATATTAAAAATTGGGTATAAAGAGTTGAGGGTAATATTGGGATATATACATGAATGTTTCCTTTATTTATAATAAATATTAAAATGATGGGCTTATTGGTGAAAGAGATATAGCCCCTAAACCTAGAATAATAAAAGTGTATGGTTGGGGACTTTATCACAAAAACCCCTAAAAAAAATTGCATAAAATGCAAGAAAATCCAAAAGAGAGTTCGATCAAACACAATAAATAAAAAAGGGTTAATTTCACTTATCACTCATCTACTAAATAAAAACTTTCAGTTACCTCCCTTCTACTATTAAAATCTTCAATTACCCCTATACTATAGGTTATACTAATTATACCCTTTTCTTCTTACTTTTTATAAGACAAGTCTCCCACTTTCATTATTTTACAAACTGAAATCTTTTAAATTTATAATAAAAATTATTCCAAATAATTCATCTCATTTTTGTTTTTATTTTAGTTTTGTTCGTATTTGTTTTATGTTTACTTGTATTGAACGTTCTAATCATATTTGTTTTTTGTTTAACTGATATTTATTCTAAAGATAAATAAAACATAAAGTATCATAAGAATCATAGTAAAAAGATTTTTATTACTCAATATTTTTTATTATTTATTCAAAAATATTTACAATGATATTTATCATTTAAATTTAATTATGCATCTTAATTTTTTTATAGTAATAAAAATTATTCATTGCGTATTATTTTGATTAAATAAATCTAATCATTAAAATTTAAAACTGATAATAAATATTTAATAAATTATATTATAATAAGATAAAATGCCCACACTTGAAATTAATTAGATGAAACTTTAAACTTAATTTATATGTTCAAGTTTAAGATAAAGAAAATGAGTATATTTTTATGGGATTTTTATGCAAAAGTCCCCAACCAAGCATGTTTATTATTCTAGGTATAGGGGACATATTTCTTTCACCAATAAGCCCATCCCTTTAATATTTATTATAACTAAAGGAAACATTCATGTATATCCCAATATTACCCTCAATCATTTATACCCAATTTTTAATTGTAATCCAAATTAATCAATTTTGTCCATAAAAGTTCAATTTTGACCACAAAAATTCAATTTTGACTTTTTTTTGGAGTATAATTTAATATGCTCCAATTTCATCCTTAACTTAATTTAATCTCAATTTGACCCCAAATTTCACAAATTATTAAATTTTGACCCAAAATTTTTTTTTTTTTTCAAAAACTTTTTTTTTTTTTTTTTTTTTTTTTTCTTCCGGACTTTTTTTCCGGATTCCGGCGTTGACTTTTTTTTTTTTTTTTTTTTTCCTTTTTCCTTTTTTTTTCCTTTTCTTTTCTCCCAAATTTTTCCCCCGGTTCCGGGGGGCCTTTTTCTTTAGGGTTTTTTAAATTTTTTTTTTTTTG